GATGAATGGGCAAATGTTCCCTCTACGGAACGGCTCAGTAACAAGAAACCCCAGGTTTCCGTCTTAAGGGACAACTGGTAATAGGACTTTTATGACGGGGTTTTATCATGCAAGAGAAAAGAAAATTAAAATGGTTGACCGAATTAGAGTAGAAAATAATGGCATGAATTATTCAAGAAAATTAATGTTTGAAAACATGAAGTGGGCGATAATTGATATGAGGAATATGAGCAATGCAAACAATTTTCAAAATTTAATTAATACCATCAAATATATTTTCCTTACCCCTTTTGTATGCCGAAAAGCAACCGCATGTCGCTGTTGAAAGTAACTTAACCTAACCACAAAAAACTTAAGCGAAATAAACTAATTAAACTGGAAAATAATCAAATTAAAATAACATCAAACAAATATATGTTTTTCTTATGCGTAACTTGCAGCAAAGTGAAAATCAAAGAATGTTTTCTAACATTAAATAGATTAAATTAAACTAACCAGCTGAATACTGAACCTTAACTAATAGAAATAAATAGTAAACGTAAGTAAAACTAGATCCAAACGAAACATAATTAAAGTGAGAAAACTATAATATAAACATAAATAAGTAAACCTCAAAGTAACTTTACTCAAGAAGAACCGTATAAAAATAAAAAAGTAGTGCAAAAAATGTAGTGAAAAAAATGGGACAGAGTAAACTAACTGTATTTCAGTGAGTACTTATTTGCGTATAGCAACCAACATCCTGTTCCATATAATCTTTACAAAAAAATGTAACTTATCATCCTCACTCATATTTGTTCTGCGTTCTAGACTATTTTTTTCATGGTACAATGTGCGAGGAAGCAAGGGTAACAATTTGGTTGTGATATTGAACTCGTCAAATCCAATGAATGCACGGCAACAATGCGACTGTGAGATGTGATTCTACAAGGTTGTTTGCCAGGATCTTAAGGACTAGAGTAGCTAACCTTGATCAGCTAGTCCGGGGTGACTTTTGCGACGTGCCTGTAATCATATAATGGCAGAAGCCTCATACAACTATGTCCGACAACAGTATTCATAACTGATTCGATCGCTCCAAAAGTACTTCTAGAAAAACAATCAAGCATACTTTGCACGTTTTGCACACAAAGACATACCAGTTCGTAGAAAAATAAGCCATAAGGCGATACAAGTTCAAGCTGTGCACCCATTATACCCAGAGGCAGTTTTCGGACACGAAGGCAAAGGAATCTAAAGGACAGTAATTTCGCCATCAATTAATATTGAGAACTTAGTTACGTAGGCCTTTTTAATAAATTATTGTTCGATTAGCCAGTTCTAGTCTTTAATGAATGCAGCCATACACCGCTGGCTTAGTTTGCTCAAAATAAGTTGAATATTTCACAGACAATTACCTGAAAAATTAAAAATTAAAACGGACGCCAGAAACCTACGTGAAATGCTGCATTTCTCTTATATATTTAAGGGTAATTTAATTATTCAGGCTCAATCACTATTTAAGGCCTCGAATCCGCCACTCTTATTTTTCGGAAGAGCAAATTAAATGCAACTTGTTCGTG